GTGTGTGTGTGTGTGTGTGTGTGTGTGTGTGTGTGTTTGTGTGTGTGTGTGTGGATGACGACAGCCAGTGCAGGTTTGGGCAGAGCTGATGTGTGACGCTGTGCTTTAAAGGCAGTTTTCTGAGCTGCTCTCAGTCATTCACTCACACAGCAAGAAGCAGCTGGACGTTTGGTAAGACCTTTAACTCCTTTATTTTCAATTATCATCTAAATACTTGGAATCATTCATGTTTACCATTTGCTGTGCCTGCTACAACTAGTTTTTAATATTTTTAACCTACTATTATAAAAACAAATGCATGACAGGAATAAGGATGTACTTCAATTTTATTATCAAATCGTTTTAATAGATTGTAAATAAATGAGAGAAATTTGATGTTGTTTAATAAACATTAATTCAGAGGTTGACAATAAAAAGACTTGAGTGAAGTGTTTAAGTTTTAATACTTCTCAGAATTTAGAAGACTTATTCAGAAAGCCTCAATGAACTCATTGGGTAAATCACATTTTAATTTAAAACATCCTTTGAAGGCAATGTTAAACTAAATGACTAAACCTAATGAGGACAGAAAGCTATCAGAAATATATATTTTGTGTTCACTGAGTCTCAATAATGTGTTTGCATCTTATGCAACTAAAACAATTATGTATTTTAAAGATTGGTTTGTTATAAGTAGTCAGTGTCTTACCTGCAGTAGGTATTAGTCAGCTTGCTTATGAATGAAGGATTTTTGACAGATGGCACAAGTATATAGGTGTATTTTACCATTTAAACATCTAAATTCTAGCAGGAATACATAAATTTTAGCATTTTTTTAACAAATTCTACTCCTCTTAATTTATCACACAGTCGTGTGTTTACATTTTTGCCGATTAAAGCATATTTTGTGTCATTGGTGGTTGTTTTGTCCTCACAATGTCCAGCTGAATGCTTTAGAAGTAAGAAAATCTGCAACCAAACCAAAGTTTTCTCCTCCTTTAGCCATTATTAATTGAAAAACTGGCACAATGGAGTTGCTACTAACATCCTTTGCTAGCTCCAAGTTAGCTTTGCTATTAGCAGTTAGCAGTACTGAGCAACAAATGATGACTGAACTATGATTGGATGAAAGCTCTAAAATAAACATTTTTTAAAAAGCAGAGGGTTCTGCTGGGAAAAAATGGTTGATTATTGTCCCGTTTATTTTTATATGAGAACAGATCAGCAGGTGTCCGCCCTGTCGATGGGATGGCACAGTGTCAAAGTCTGACTGTATGTTTGCCTTTCTTTATTTGTATTTAGCTGTAAGAACACCCTGTCTCCAGTTATTATCTCAACCTTGATAACATCGATACTGGCCTCTAGTTTCAGTCTGTAGAGTACATGCCATGCAGCAGATCTACACTGATAAAAGTGCAAACCCTGGTGCAGTTTGTACTCGTGAATCTGGTATTTGCATCGCTCCTCTTGTCATCTTACTGATGTTCTGGGAGCCACTATAAAAAAAGATCTAAAGAAGGATGATGTAATGTCGCTAATCTAATTTCTAATCTCATTGTGTTTTTTTATAGAAGTGACAAAAGAGATTTGGGGGAAAAGTGTGAGAAGAAAGAGAAGATGACAATCGGTAGGAACTCCAGGAAAAGCTCAGTCCGAAGCTCCATCCGGGCCCCAAAGTTCTTGGACAAAGCTGGTGGTTTTTACGGTCGCCTCGAGGAGCCTGAGACCACCACAGAGGTGCAGGAGTTCAGGGAGGGCGAAGTAGAAGATGGCAGCAAAGAAGTTGCGAGCCGTCCATCGGGGGCAGAGGACGACGTGGAGGGGTTGAACTTCACCGATGGCGTGATGGAGGACGACGGGGAGACGCTCCTGTGCAGGAAACCCAGCCGGCGCAGCAGCAGGTGGAGAAGAAGCTCCAGGAGGAAGCAGAAGGAGGTCGAGGAGGAGCAAGCCCGAGACGAGAGGCCAAGCGTGGGCACTGGTAGTCCGGTGGACGGCCCCGTCCTGGAGGACAAGATCAAATTAGAGCTGGAGGAACTAAAATCGATGGAGGAGGTCTGCGTCGAGAAGGAGCCTCCTCTGGTCCACTTCAAAGTTCAAGAGTTTGCAGACAACAGTGTTCTGATCAGAGACAAGAAGCGAGGAAGAGAAGAAGAAGGAGAGGAGGAGAGGAAGATCAAGAAGGAGCAAGAAGAGGGGATGAAGGTCCTGAAAAGGAAGAGTTATCGCAAGGTGAGATGTAGCCATATTTACATGAATTCCACACTGACTTTACCTGGTTAAACTTTAATCCTCTGAAGGTTACGTAACCGAGCCGGTTGTGTAGGTGGAACTGAGGGCAAAGTTCTGCCTCCACATTACTCCCGCTGATTATTAATCTCCATGGCAACTCATCATATTAGCTTAATAATCCTCCACCACAGCGGTCAAAGTACAGCAGCCACTGGTGCATGTCACCAACACTTTAAGATTGTTCCTTTACGTCATCTTTATTGACTCCTAAATTTTAAAGCCTCGGCGTCCCTGGTACTGCCTGTACTTTCACCTACATGGCACATCGTGAAGATTTTCTGCTCCAGCTGAAACACACACAAACTCATGGGGACATTCCTGTGGCTTTTATAGCTTTGATCAGTGGAACGAGACAGGGCAGCAACTGACCCCCTACTATAATCAAGGCACAAAAACATTCCTCTGATGTTAATCAACCCTGACCCCAGGCCTCAGAGTCTCAACCAAAGATTATAAAAGTAGCTGTGGGCTGTACTGAAGTTATCATAGTACTTATGGTTAAACATTGTTTCAATAAAGACCAGAGGCGTCTTTCTTAAAGTGATGATGTCACTTCCTGTTTCACTTTAGCTGAGCCAAGTTCAAAAGAAAATATGCGATTTATGTGACAAAATGAGTAAAATCATGTGTAGTATGCAGTTTCTTAAATATAAAGTCGTTTTCTTTGACTTTCTGTATTTGAAGGATGTACACGTCACAGACTATTTAAGAGTTGATTCCCACCTGCTGTCCTGATTTTCTACAAGCTAGCTAGCATGTCCGTAGCTTGCTAGCTAAGTTTCAAAATTACTAGCAATCTTAAAGTCAGTACTTGCTGACTTTTGATACCAAAGTTGCTAGCTATCAAGTCACTAGCTTGCTAGCGCTTATCATATTTACTAGCTAGCAGCAGGGTTGCCAAATCGAACTGACAGCTTCCAGCCCAAATACAACGTAAAACGTTTACAGTTGACATTGAGCAATACCATGGCATAGTGACACTTGATATTTTAGGAAAAAAATGTGTATACTTTCTAAAAACCTGTCAAACGTTGTGAAAAGCAGCCCAGATTTGAACAACACGCTCATTGTGTTTTTTTCCAGCCAAACTGGGCCGAAACTAGTCCAATCTGGCAACACTGGTAGCAACTAGCAAGTCACAAGCTAACTAGTAACTTTCATAAAGTTACAGTTCCTTTAGCGAGACCTTCTAAAACAAACAAATAAAACAGTTTGACGCATAAAATTGTATTTTAGCACCAACAAAAAGATACTCAAAATATGATATTTGTCTGAAAATTTGGCTCAGACAGTCAGCATTATTCCATATAATCTTACAGTAGCTTCTTAAAGTGAATAAAAAAGCAACCATGGTCCAAAATAGAAAAACAACTGTGTCCAAAACCACTTGAGGTTTGGCTCTTTGAAAACAAAATATGTCAAACTTCTGAAAACACTTTTATAGAACAAGCCAGCCTTTTATTTGGAGTCTTTATTTTCTCATCTCGTCCGGTAATTCTGCACCACCTACAGAAACAATGATCTGCTTGTGCTCCGAAAGGGGAAATTTGGTTTCCGCCGCCGCAGCAGTGACCCAAAACTACACTAGATGAGGCGTAAACATGCAAAACAAAAGAAGCATCAAGTCTCCAAACTTTAAAATATAATCTTCACAAAGAAAAAGTTGTAAAGAAATGATGATACGCGATCATGTGTGACCCTCTTCTTCGTCCTCTCACCAGGCTTTTGACCGGGCTCTTCGCCGTGGCTGGGAGGCCTTCATCACCAACCTGTACAGTGTCACGCTCACACCTGTGACCTCATCATCATCATCGTCATCATCGTCAGCGTCCTCGCCCTCGCTGAAGAAGAAGCATCAACACAAAGCCGTGCTGGCTGAGTTTCACTAGAGCTGGATCAGATCACGGACATTTTAAAGTGACTCTTCGTTAATATGTAAATAAAAATCAGGGTTAAAGCAGTGCTTTTTCCTTTAACATTCACGGTGCCTTCACTGTTTGTGATGGTAACAATCCCAAAGCTTTAATTGTTGATGTTGGTTAGATGAGTTTTAATTATTATTTGTGTTTATTTTGTATTCAAACTATAGAAGTGAATGTGATAAATGGGGAGGAGTCAAGTTGTGGTTTTTGTATTTAATCTTTTTAGCTGATTTCAGCTGTGTTCTGTAGTGCCTTACAGCCGATCCACTATCAAGAGTGCAAATAATCCCTGTTTCCTTTGGATTAACATTATGAAACACCTGAAGGGTTGAAGTGTAGCCGTAAAAGGAGCAGAAGATTTCAGGAGCGCCAATGACCGATCAGTGGATTTTTGTTTTTATCATGTAATCTTTATAAAATCCTGGTGTGTGTTCTTGTGATGGTTATTTAACCTGAAGGAACTGAAGAGTTTAAAACATGAAAACGCCTCATTTTGCAGTTTTAAATGTGAATTAAACACACCAGCACGACCAGCTACACATCTCATTAAGCCTCGTTTGCAGCTGCTCAACGTGCTTTTTAATATTTATTTGTTATTTTAAAAGATTGCCACTACCTGTATTTAAAAGACTATTAATTATTGACTTTTGTAGAAATGAAGACTATGTTTGAAATAAACTTTTAATATTCTGTTGTTCATGCCTTTTTTATTTTGAATCACTGTATTCATTTTGTGGTTGCAACAATAAAACCTCACTGGACTAAGTTGTAATCCACAGCACTTTGATCTTGAAATTAAGGTAGTTTAACGTAAATTTTGACGACCGTTAAAAATAAATTAATCACTTTATTATTATTATTATTATTCAATGTGACCTAATATTTCAAATATCTAAAATAAAAACAGGGTTTACAATGAAATCTTCTAATCCAGTTCCAGCAGAATAAAGTGGTTGCAGATATTTTTGCTGCCATCTAGTGGCAAAAACTATTAATGGCCTTAACGGAAGTGACGCAATGATAGGAAACGCTCCCGTTTTGTTTAAAATTGATTTTCACATCAAAATATTAGACTTACAAACATGTTTCGCTCGCATACTATCTATTTTTATTTAACTTTAATAGAATATGTAAAAATAAACGCTTATACAATTATTTCCGCGGATAAATTCAGAAATTGTCGCGGTGGGCGGAGCTTAAGCTGTGGACATAAATATGAATGGCGCCTTTTCGATCTTCCACTTTTTCCTGCTTCGTGGAAGAGGTAAGATCATTAACTCAACATTACAGTTGAGTTAAACGACAGTATGTTCCATCCTAGGTTAGTTGTGTGACGTGTAAAACAGTTAAACCATGCAGTTGAATTATTGCTGCTGCGTGTGTTTAATTTGAAAAGATTTGTAGTCTCGGAAGTTTCTGCTCTCGATTGAGCAGCAATGAGCAGAGCTGGAAACGATCCGCAACCATCCGCCATTAAATTTAACTAATATAATTTAAACAGCTCTCAGGGTCGAAAGAGAAACATGCATTGTAACTTTTAAAGCGATTATCAAGTGACAACACGACTCGAATTTGAATTTTCCTTCAGGTTTTCACGGATGGCCGCTGTTAGCTTAGCGCTGCTGCTAGCATCGTCTCTCAATGATGAAAAATTTCACAGACCTGTACTGAATGACTGTGATTGCACTTCTTTATTCTGATGTGAGACGTTGTTTTTTTAGTTTATTTCTTTGTATTTTTTTTTTTTACTACCATCTGACTTGGACACGTTGCGTGGCCGGTTAGTCACGTGGTGGTTACTTGAAAGCTAAAGCTGCTAGCATGTAGCATGCTAATGAGGACGTTTTCTGTGCTTATTTTCCAGACTGGAAACGTGCAAACAAGCGTTAATAAAGGTAATGTCTTAATGCTTACACAGCGTTATTAATGCATTTAATAACATGTATCATGCGCTGCAATGATGTTTTATTGAACTCTCTCACTGAATAAACCTTGAGGACACTATTTCAATATTCTGAGTAGCCTTTAGCTTTTATAAGTGATTTGTAGTAGTTGTTTCTGGAGCTAAATAATTTATTGGCCTCTTATATTTCAGGTGTAAAGACTGACACTCCATGAGGTATGTATTAAGTAGCTCTGCAGGAACAGATGCATAATTAGCACAGTAAAGTAGTGACTCAGGCAAACCACCATCTTGGTTGCATACCTGTAATCAGGATTTCATGTGCGCAGCTTTAACTCCTAATGGTTGCCAGCAGCAAAATTGCACTTCCTGTTTTCCTTTCTATTAATTAGTTATGTACAGTAAAGACAAAATATTTGCTATAAGCTCATAAAGTAGTGAAATGTGGAAAACGCTGTTAAACTCTTACATCCTCATTGCTGAAACAAATAGAGCTGCTTGGATAAATTCTGATAAATCTCCCAAGTGCTTTATTTTGCTGCAGTTGGAAGTGCTGAAACAAACTTGTTTACATTTCATTTCAGCACATTATTTCAAGCACAAAGTAATCTCCTTTTGTGCTAAAGAGGTGTAATTTTGACCTCTGAAAGAGGAATCTGTTAAAATCTAGATAAAAGTCCAGCATCCCACTTAGAGTATTGTCTGCAATCATATCAGTAGAGAATTTACAAGATGATTTACACGGCCATTGTTGATCCGTCAGACATTTACTAGAGTGGAAAGATGTTTTTGGGTTCTTACCAAGATGGTGGACAAGTGCTCAAACACAGGAACTGTGACATCACATAAGAGCTATTTTATTGTTTGGAGGAGCTCATATGCTGCTGTGATGTTGATGAATTCTCTCTTTCTGAATTGGCCTTTGGAGAAACTTCTTTACCAGATTCTGAGCAGCATATCTGCTCCAGCAAACAGCCCCACCATTTTTTTATTCATGCAATGAAGTAAATCTTATTTATTTCAGATGTCTAAGGCGAAAAAGAAGACTGGAAAGCAGCAGGTGAGACACTTTTGAAGTGTTACACGATGATTATAAAGGCTCCAACTGATGAGTTTAGAAAAGACAAGCATATGCCTGATTCTTGTGATGAAGATTTATTAATCTGAGCAGCCGTTCTGTAGCATCCAAGTTCAGTTTGTTCTCATTTATGGCTCATATATATTTATTTTTATTCTTTAGGATGACCTCATTGTGCTGTCTGCAAACAATATGACGCTGGAGAAATAAAAAGGTGAGCTTAAGTTTTAATGTTTAGTGAATAAGCTGTGGGATTAAATGTGATGATTCTTGACAAGCATATGGCTGATTACTGTGATGTCAGATTATTCTCTGATTCCCCTGAGGTTTAATTTGGGGAATGCTCTGGGTTTTTGAGTTTTTAATGCTAAGGTTTGCCTGCAGGTGGAAGCTGAAGGAGATGCTTCCTGATCATGTGAGTGTCGCTGCAGAAGAATCCACATCAAACATGGTACATTTTAAATATTTAGGGCTGAATCACCTCAGCTACTGTCTGGTTATTATAAACTGGAATTCAAACCTTATTAAAACATAAATGCCAGGATTAGGGCTGCAACTATTAATCAATTAATCGGCCAAATCGTTAAAACGCTTAATTACATGAATATGGGTAGATATTAAAATATATATCATATATTAAGTTACCTCCTTAAGGATGCAAGTTATTGATAATGAATTAATCTGAAGTTGATTTATCTTATAGATTGATAAACAATTAATTAATAAGCAGCCTTTTTTTAAACCAGAGTTTTCGCTTGAATCAAGAGGGTCTTCCCTTAAAATGAATTTATTTTATATCTGAATTTAAAAAACAGAAGCATATAATACATATTTTAACAATTTATTTTGCCAGCTGTATTAAATA